CACGTTAATTTTAAAAAATGTTAAATTCTGACACGTTAGGACACGTTTTGATATTATACAATATTTTTAATTTATGTAGTATATAGTATATTTAATATTCAATAATTTAACAAAAAAATAAAGTTAAACTTATAATACCCATCAATTTTGCAAAGAAAGATAAGATATCTCAAATATTTATATTAAACTCAATATAATAGTAATCGTAATCCAACGAATCTAATAGTTGGAACTCAAAATGCAACGCAACGTACTTTGAACCTTTTTTGAGTCTTTATGTAAGAACCCGCACCGCTAATTTAGGAATTTAATTAATTAATTATGCAAAATTAGAAAATGATTCCATAATTGACCCTAATAATTATTATAAGGCTTTAATAATTATAATTAGTGAGTAAGAATGCTGAAAGTCGCTTTTCGGAAGAAAAGTGCAGATACCGGTTCCGCTAGTCGGTATAAATGCATACCAAAAAAGTATCCCGGAAAGTTACAGTAAGTGCATGATAATTACTAGAATAATATGTAGGACTTGTAAAACGAGTTTCGAGTCCAAATGATGAGAACTGGTGCCGGAAACTGGTACTGGCTATGAAAAGCGCGTACCGGAAAAGTGCTCAGAAAAATATAATAAAAATATGAAAATTCTTGTAAAATTGAGTAGGTTAAGAATCCAAAGTTTGGGATTAAAATGCTAAGCGTAGCAATTAAAGCTAATATTGTGTGTTAGTGACTTAACCGCCTATATATGCTTAATGACACTAAACCCTAGGCCATATTGGAGGCTGCCTACGTGAGTTTTCTGATTTCTCTTTAGCCTTGTGCCTCCCATTTCCACCTTCATCTCCCTTCCTCTTGTGAGCCAAAGGTGTCACCTTTCTCCTTGTTTTTGCCACTTAAACACTTGGGTGTGTGTGGGGTAACCTTGGTGGTGAGTTGTGAATCATTTCTGAGGATATGGTTGCTGTTGGTTGAGAGTGTTTGGGGCTGTATAGTCTGAGTTTGTGTGAGTGGGGCTTGCTCTTGGCTTCTTGAGCTTCAAGAAGCCACCTTTTGGCACAAAAGGACTAGCTTGAAGTGTATTTTCGTAGCCTTGTGAAGTCAGAACCTTGGAGTTGCATTGGAGGCTTCCTTTCTGCTTCATTTTTGAAGTTTTGAGCTCTTGAGGTGAGCCATGATCACCTAAGTGTCATTTTGAGGCCTAAAGCTTGTTTAATCTATTAAAAAGAGGAACTTTAACCATTTGAGTAAAAGAATGTGTTTCTGAGTTCATAACATGTTGGGTTATATCTGTTTAGGGAGTCATTAGACTCCCAATCGCGTTTGGACCCTTAAATTTGAGATTATGCAGAAGTTGGCTCGAATTTCTGCATTCTGTTGAAGAAGTATTCGAATACTTTTCGTGTAGTATTCGAATACTTGTTCATCAGGTAGTCGAATACTCTTGCTGGAGTATTGAGACACTTTTCTGGGAAGAAAAGTATTCGGTTACCTTTGAAGAAGTATTCGAATACTGGAAAGTATTCGAATACAGTAAAGTTTAGTATTCGGATACTGAGGTATTCGGATACTGGGGGGTTAAGTATTCAGATATTGGCGAGTTTTCGAATACTTAAGTGAAAGTAATCGAATACTTTCTGGAGAGTGGGAGTATTCGAATACTACTCGTGGAGTATTCGAATACTTCCTGCAGAAACAACATGTAATGAGTTAAAATGAGTAAGAAAGACTTAATCACTTAGTGTAATCTGAGCTATGATTATTGATGATTAATTATGGCATAGGCAGATTGTGATTGTGCTGTTTGTGGGCCTTGAACTTGTGTGGACTCTTGGCATTGGATAGTTAGCTTGCAAGGTAAGCTTTTGTGTCCTCGGTTTAGCCATGTTGTGGTTCCACCATGTCCCATGGGGGTATGGTTATATGCATGTTGTGTTACATGCTTTGGATATTTGAAATACTGTTAAGCTTTATGTGTGATGGCTTTTAATATGCATGTGTTGTTCCATCTTGACGGTAAGCCTGAGTATGTGGCGTTATACAAGACGGTGATCCGGGGTGGATGCAAGTGGCGTCTTGCACTATGTGTGGATATTTGGCGTATATAAATCCTGCATTTCTCTGGCCAGTAGAATAGAATTGACACACATGACATGATTATCTGCTGCATTGCACTATTTTAGAACTGATGATGATAAACTGCTTTTGAACTTATATTGCACATGTAAGTGAGCTTGGGGTGGAAGATCCTTGAGGACTCACTGTCTTACTGAGATTTCTAGTTTAGAGATCTTACCCCACGTTTGGAGAATGCTTATTTCAGGATCAGGTAGTATGGGGCTGATGCCTCGGGCGGCAGAAGGCCGGAGCTTAGCTGATTATGTTGTCACTACTTTTATGCTAGAATGACTATATTAGATGCTGTTTATGTTTCCCGCTTTGAGATTATGTTGTTTATGTTGAGACTGATGTTGGGCTTTGTTGTCTTATTTGAGTGAGCATGGGGATTGTCCATGACACTTTATGTTAGTACTTTTGGATTGGAGTTGTATAACCTGCTAGTTGGTCCGGCCTACTTGTGGTAGTCCCGTGATTTCTAGAGACACACTCTTATTATCTATGTTATGAGGTATTTCAATTAGTGGTTTTATTGCAACTATATACAGGCGATGTTTTATTAATTGATTAATAAGCAAGTTGGTAATGATAATGACATCATAATTGAAAAGAAAAAGATATTCTGCATTTTTAATTAAGCGCTGCTTAATACGATAGTATGATAACATTACCGGATATATACGAGGTGTTACACTTTGCAACGAATATTAGAGTGTCGGGAAGTGTCAGACACGACACGTCAGGAATTTTGAAGTGTCGGTGCTTTATAAATGACAAGTATAGCTTTGCTTTTTCAGAGAATAAATTAGAAATATGAGTATATTTGATTTTTTTTTGTGATTTTTTATTTTGTAAAATAGTTTTGAAGTATGTGTTTTTTATTTTTATTTTTTGAAATTTAAAAGTTAAAACACAAAATAAAAATAATTCAGATATGCATGTTCTTTAAATTTCATTCTAAAAATAAAAAAATAATTATAGTTTTTATTTTTTATTTTTTATCAAAACACGTCTTATCAAACAATTTTTTTTATTTTTTCTGAAAATTCAAAAACTATTTTCCGGAACAGATTTCAAACAGGTCCATGACTGCTGGTTTAGTTCTTGCTATTTTTCTTTCATTAATTTTGTTATTGTTTTGTGTTGAATATTTCTTTTATATTATCTATTTATTTATCGATTATTCAATTAATCCAATTCGATTATTTTGTCTTGATGTTCTTTTTCATATATTTTAATCATTCTTATAAATAATTTTACGTAAGAAATTGGTTAAAATTTTAATTGCCAATACATTTATTTGTTGGTTAAGTGTACGAATATTAGCTTACCAAAAAAAAATGTACGAATATTATATAAAATAAGAAGTGTATATATTAGTCGAGTAATTTTATATTTAAGTTAAATTTAGAAAATTTAAATTGAAAAATTAATAGAAATATATTTAAAATTAGTGTATATATTACAATTTCTTTTCAGTATAACCAATTATAGATTAAAAGAAAAAAATTAAAAATAATAATAATATATATATTATTAAGAAAATTAAATGTAATTTTTTTTAAATAAAATAAAAAGACACATGTGGTCATTTAAATGAAAATATACTAAAAATATTAAATACTCACAAAAGTAAGTTTTAATTTAAAGGTGCGATTATATTTACCACCATTTTGGACTTACCACTCTTACCACTTGATTGGTTATCGTTGGATTAATTTAAAATTAACAGTAGTTAACCTCCAAGGGTAGCTCAGTTGGCAGCTGAGCTTCCAAGGGATTGCTTGGTGCAGGGATCAAACCCGCCTTTCTCCGGTTGTTGCGAAGCTTACTGCACCCACTGTTACAATGAAGGGCTAGCCCAAACGGGCCGTACCCACTTTTTGTGGTTTAAAACATCACACTTTTTAAGAATATAAATATAATTATTCTCTTAACATTTCGTTCGATTATACGAAATTTTTTAAGTTTATATGGAATTTTGAAAATATTATTTATAAAATATTTAAGAGAAAAAGTATTTTATTTGATAAGAAAAATATGTATAATTAATATAGATAAAATTTACAAAGTATATGTTAAAAAATATTTAAATTGTCTGGTCTTAAAGGAGGCTAGACAAATAGGTTAAACATTTTTAAAACAGTATATTCTAAATTTTTTTTTTGTTCGTCATGTTTTGAGTTTATGCCTCTCCATTCTCCTTACTTTGCAAGATTAAAATGCATTATCTTTAGACAAGTCAAATTTTGGGATTTAACTATGTTATAACTAGACCAATAACTATTGGATAATATATTCCAAGTTAATATACAGAGATAATTAGTATATATATATATATGTATATATATATATATATATGTATATATATATATATATGGATTACTTAAATTCTATATACAACGAATATTTATAGAATTTTATCTACAAAAATTTGATTAAGAATATAAAGAAAAAATAAATTTATTTGTAACGTATAAAAGAAGGGAAAAAAGTTTCCGATGTTACTTTAGATAACTTTATCTAATGTTCATCGAAACGACGTTGTTTTGGAGTTGAAAAATTAAAAAATTAGAGTGATAAAGACTATTATAACCCTGAAATAAATTAAAATTACAAAAATACCATGATATCCGTCCCAAAACGACGTCGTTTTGATGAACATTAGATAAAGTTATCTAAAGTAACATTAGAAAAAACAAACCCATAAAAGAAAGAGGAGCATTATGATTTTAGAGACGAAAAAGCGTAATATGTAAGGAAAAATCTCATTTTTGCAGAGTTTACTGTCTATTGCGTTTATAAATTTATATTCCAAATGCAGAGCATATTCACCTACAGATAAACCCCAATTTACTCTCCGAAGCCCAAATTGAAAAGAAATGAGAAGAGGTGGTTACTCAAATACCTGGTTAGGGTTTTGATTCGAGCGTATGGCAACAGGTTTCTCACATCAGAGGCAAATAGGGGAGGAAAAGGGTTCAACCAAGAGTGAGGTCACCACTGCTTCCTCTAAATTTGACTTGATCTTTGTATTTTGTGGTTTTATTTTGCTTTTGATTCTTCTTATTTGCACTGTCCGGTGTTAAATCCTCCATAAATTATTATAATTTTAAGTTCTGCTTAAGCTATGTTTTGTTGTGGGTGCTGTTCAGATAGATAATTTTTTTTTTCAATACGCATTAATTTTTTCCAATTTAGAATATCAGTGTTTCCATTCTCATTTTTAAGTTTTACAATGCAGAAGGCTACTTATTCATGAATTTAATGTGAATTACATGATAGCCATTCTGCTCATTTAAAATAAGGAACAGTGTGTTTGAAACGTAGAGTGGATGGGAAAGTAGATATTTTTTTTAGTCAGATTCCGCTAAAGTAGACTGATAAAGAGAATTATTCATAAATATATAGTTAAATGGTAGTATGGAAATGCTTAGTTTTTGGTCCAGTTTTTCCAACTTGTATTGATCGTTTTCTTGAAATGTTGAGCCGTTTATCTCTTTACAAAAAATTGTATGATTATATCTGAAAGATCATTTGTTTTGCTCCTGGTGTAATTTCTCAATGAAGCATTGTCCCTTCATTCAGGAACCATCTTTACAGGATTACTGAGACAAACCTTTGTATCTGTCAAATAGGTGGTATCTTTGGACATGTGAAACAATTGTTTTGGAAGTGAAGTGGATTTGAAATGAATGTTGCCACAACAATCATGGATTCTTCTGTTGTCTTGGGTAGCACGATTTTGGAGCCTCATAATGATCTGGAATTTGAATCTCATGAAGCTGCATATGCATTTTACAAAGAATATGCCAAGTCTGCAGGGTTCGGTACTGCTAAGTTGAGCAGTCGTCGGTCTAGGGCATCAAAGGAATTTATTGATGCCAAATTTTCATGTATAAGATATGGTAATAAGCAGCAATCTGATGATGCAATTAATCCACGCCCTTCTCCAAAAATTGGTTGCAAGGCAAGCATGCATGTGAAGAGAAGACAGGATGGTAAGTGGTATGTCTACAGCTTTGTGAAGGAGCATAATCATGAGCTTTTACCTGCTCAAGCTCATTTTTTTCGGAGCCACAGGAGTTCTGATCCACTAAGTAATGATGTTAGGATGCGCAGGCGGAAGAACTCAACTGCAGTTTCTAAACTATTTAGTGCATATCAGAATGTTGATTGTTTAGAGAACTTTATGAAACATCAACATGATAAAGGGCGAAGTTTGGTTTTAGAAGCAGGGCATGCCCAATTGCTTCTTGAACTCTTCATGCGCATGCAAGAAGAGAATCCAAAATTCTTCTATGCAGTTGATTTGAATGAAGAGCATCGACTGAGAAATGTGTTCTGGGTTGATGCTAAAGGCTTGGAAGATTTTCCTTACTTTTCTGATGTTGTTTCTTTTGACACAACATATTTTACCAGCAAGTATAAAATACCATTGGTACTTTTCATTGGGGTAAACCATCATATTCAACCAATATTGCTTGGTTGTGCATTGATTGCTGATGAGACCATATATACTTTTGCCTGGTTACTGCAAACATGGTTAATAGCAATGGGAGAACGAGTTCCACAAGTGATTCTCAGTGACCAAAATGAGGCTATTAAAGCAGCTGTTGCCGCTGTTCTTCCTGGAACACGTCATTGCTTTTGTTTGTGGCATGTTTTGGAAAAGATTCCCAAACAGCTTGAATTTTTAAGCACATGGCATGATAGCTTTATGGAAAAATTTAACAAATGTATATATAAATCATGGACAGAGGAGCAATTTGAAAAGAGATGGTCGAAGTTAGTTGACAGGTTTAACCTTAGAGATGTTGAGTGGGTCCAATCCTTGTATGATGACCGTACGTGTTGGGTGCCAATTTTTATGAGAGATATTTCTTTTGCTGGCCTGTCTACTAGTTCACGCTCAGAAAGTTTAAATTCTTTGTTTGACAACTATGTCCAAGTTGATACTTCATTGAGAGAATTTATAGAACGGTACAGAGTGATTCTTGAAGATAGGCATGAAGAGGAAGCCAAAGCAAATTTTGATGCTTGGCATGAAACACCTGAATTGAAGTCTCCTTCCCCTTTTGAAAAACAAATGTTATTAGTTTACACACATGAGATTTATAAAAAGTTCCAGATTGAGGTTTTGGGTGCAGCTGCTTGCCATCTGAAGAAAGAAAATGATGGCATGACTACCACTTATAGTGTGAAGGACTTTGAAAATAATCAAAACTACATGGTAGAATGGAACACATCAAACTCAGATATATATTGTTCATGTCACTTGTTTGAATATAAAGGTTATCTCTGTAGACATGCTATTGTTGTTTTACAAATGTCAGGTGTTTTCAGCATCCCACCAAAGTATATATTGCAAAGATGGACAAATGCTGCTATGAGCAGGCATCCTATTGGTGAAAAATTGGAAGAGGTTCAATCCAAGATTCGGCGATTCAATGATTTATGTAGACGAGCCATAATATTGGGTGAAGAAGGTTCTTTGTCACAAGAAAGTTACTATATTGCTTTAGGTGCCATAAGTGAAGCTCTACAGCAATGTGCAAATTTGAACAACTCTGTTGAGAATGGTACAAGGCCTGATGCCTTAGCTACCCATGTTGTTTGCAATGTTGAACAAGAGTATCAATCTATTATTACATCTAACAGTAAGGTCCCTGATCCAAAAATGAATACTGGTAATAAGGCTGGGAGGACTGTTGCGGCTGGTAGGAGTCTAGGAAGTGCAGAAAATAGTGAAGGAAATAAAGGAAAGGTCAGTTATTTTGGTGATTAATGATTTCCCTCCTTGTGTTCATTTTCTTTCAAACTGTCTACAAGTTTGCTTTCTTTATGTTATAGGTACCTCAGCTTGAAGCAGTGACTGGGAAAGATGGTTTTCAACAAATGGTATGCTATGCCCTAACTTTTACTATTGCATTGCCATCAGAAGTCTCAAGTTATAATTTGTTTTAATTTTTTTTTTTTTTTCCATGAATACCATTCTGCTAATTCATCAAAATTCCATAAAAATACTTGTTTTCTGAGATTGCACTGTTGGCTACACTTATTTTTGGAAAATGCACAGAACAGGATAAGACATCCTCAAGGAATGAAAAAATTGAAGTAAAAAAAAAAAAAAACTAAGGAAACAAGAATGCTAGGATTGCAGTAGGGGAGCCATTTCTTTTGCATATCAAATAAGTTGGCAACATCCCCTTGAAACAACCATTAGCTTAGCATGGGAGAGAAGCCGAGTAAAACACCAGCCAAAAGCAAATTTAGGGGCAAGGTGGTCCCCTTAAAGATATGTGTGGTTCTGCTCCAACCAAAGTGCTCTGTTTCTAAGCTATACTTAATACATGACACTCATGGGGGAGAGAGTAGTGTGAGGCCTGCAAGTTTGTTGCATCTTGTTACACTGTTTTGATTATTTTAGAGCTTTGAACTATGCAATACAACATTTGATGGTGAATAACGCTGTAGTAGAAGTTGGTTTGATTGAGCATTTGGCTATGCTAGCATGTTATGTTGATTGGAGTGTTATAATTCCCTACTTTCCGTCTTGACCTGTAGGATAAGTCGGTGTTAGATCTGAGTGTTTCACGCTTATATAAACAATGACAAATGCATATTGAGACTTTGGATTCAGAAGGGAAAAAAAAGAAGAGCAGGAGTTTAGATTTTTGACCCATTAGATAATAGAATATGCTAGATTTTAATTCCTGCATGTCTTGTATAGAAGGACCTGATTGGTGTTTGTAATCGTGCATCTGCCCATCCATTTTATATGTGCTAATATCTGTTTTCATGTTTTGGCTAACATTCAATATTTGTATTCTTGATGAGATCATTTTATAAATTGTCATGACTCATGAAGTACAGTGAAAGCTCGAGTGTGCTATGGTTTTAAATTTTTAATGTCTGCATATGCTTGTGACAGGAGCCAACTGATCTGAGGTCACATAATGTCATGCCTATGCAGTTTCACAGTATGGTGCCGGTGCAGGCGCTGTTCCATAATGTTTCGTCGACACCGTATCATACCGCTGCTTCGACTCATTTGCATGAGAATCGTCTTTCTCGTTAGCTGAATAAAAATTTACTTTTAAAAGGATATGAAGACCATGTATAGAACTGTACATAAAAAATGCCACTTCTGCAAGGCACCACACCTTTCACCTAATGGTTTCTATGTTGCAGAGAGGCTAAGCGGCAATCGAAGTTGATAGTTGTGCGGCCTTAAGGACCATTGTATTCCAAAGTTAAGCTTACCATCGACGTAGGCATCTTTTGTTGGTTTCGTTTATGTTCTGATTTTGTGTAATATTGAGAGGGCGAACGTTGGAGCAGGATGGTTGTCCCTTGAGTATGGAAAACCACTTAGCAAAAATGCGGAGTAAGGTCATGTATAATCTATTGGGGAGCCTTTGCACTGAGATTTACTTTTTTTAGTTTGTGTAATATTGTGTATAGGTGCATATATTTTGGGATGTTTGTTTTAAATAATGATTTTAAAACCGGACTAATCATTGAATTGATAAAGGCTCTATTTAATTGGTCTAAGTGTAGTGGAATCAGTGATCAGCAAATATATTTTAATTTTATATAATATTGTTGCGGATTCGGCTAGTGCTCTGGTCGTATAAGTAATAAAGTGTAACGAGTACATGATCGTTTTCACGAGGATTATAATTTCAAGCACTATTTCACTACTTCTGTTTAAGTTGGACAATCAAAATCAATGGTGGAATTTAATTTGGTTTGGAGTCAGAATATTAAAACTAATTAAAACATGAACAAGAACGTAAAACTTTGGATTACTTGACATAAAAGAAACATAGTTAGGGTTTCTACTTCCTCTAATTTCTCCTTTATGTTTTGAATTCACTCCTTAAGATTAATCGTCCTTAATGTAAAACCAACTGATTCTATTAATTTAATTAAGATTCAATTTCTTGACACCTTAAATTTTTATAATATTGCAAGAATCCTAGTTTCCCAGATATTCCTCAAGAAAATAAGCCTTGCGTTCAAGAATCATATGATTGCATAAAACTCTATGATAAAGTTATCATGTATGGATCATGCACCAACATTCCTATTGCCATACACTTACCTAAGATCAATATACAAGATTCAAATTCATAGAAAGCATTAAGAAAAGATAACTATATTCAAAATAAAAAGGAAGAATAACATCAAGAATCCTTTCAAAACATGAAAGATCAATTGGGTTCCATCTAACCCTAACTACAAATAAAAACTTAGCCTAACATAATAGAATCAAGAGCGAAAGAAAATAAGAAATCTCCCCCAAACTCTATTGATAGTGTGGTGAATCTTGAAGGTTCCTAGTGCAAACTTGATTCTAACTTGTTTTCGACTCTCAAGAACATGAACTATGCTTCTCCCCTGCTTCAGCTCTCTAAAAGTTATCAATCCATATACTATTTGTCCTTAAATATTTGAAGAATTAGTACTCTAAGTGGAAACAATTAAATGGGCCTAAGTTGGATCGTAAGCCCTCTCTTTGCAGATGAATTTTGCATGGTAGCACGCTTAAGCTTCATACAAGGGGCTTAAGCGCTCTCCTATTGAAGATTTTTGGTCTTTCCGTGCATTTTGTGCGCTTAAGCTCCCTAAAAGGGGGGCTTAAGCGCGCTCCTACCGAGCGTTTTACTCTTTATGTGCAATTTGGGATTTAAAGCTCCCAAAAAGGGACTTAAGTCTCCTTTTCAAATGATATAATTTCTTCTATTTTACATTTGGTGACTTCTATGATCTTCAATTTTAAGCTCCAAGTCTTTGAATTTCATATTTTATTTCATTTATACCCATTTATCTTCAAAACAAATAAAATTCAAAACAAATAATTTTCATATATTTAACTAGATAATTCATATAAAATTAGTCTCTCTCTTTTTGGCAAACGTAAAATTAATCTTTAAAACATGATAAACTAAAGGTTTATCAAATATATTAAATAATAAATTAACGTACTCTAAAAGTATATTATCATAATTAAGTAATTATAAATATGACAACATCTTTAAGATTTAACAGTAAACACAATATTTATTAATTTGTTGCACGATCGGCGACTACCAAGTCCATTTTAATGATATTAAAAAATATTTTATCGTTATATATATATATATATATATATATATATATATATATATATATATAGTGAATGTAGATAAGTTATCTACATTCGCTCTCAAAACGACGTCGTTTTGGATTAAAAAATTATAATAAAAATATTATTATAAACTTGAAATAAATTATAATTACAAAAATATCTTGATTTCTATCTTATAATGACGTCGTTATGGACTCAATGTAGATAAGTTATCTATATTGACGATAGAAAAAGCGAACCATGTATATATATATATATATATATATATATATATATATATATATATATATATGGGGAGGGATCATTTGACTCCAGAGTAAGATTTAAAAGTCTTACTCTTCATCCCAGCCCTTGATTTCCGTTCATCCAACGGTTATCATTTAGTAATTTAATGCATTAATTAATTATTAATTTCAAATAAATGATAACCGTTGGATGAACGGAAATCAAGGGCTGGGATGAAGAGTAAGACTTTTAAATCTTACTCTGGAGTCAAATGATCCCTCCCCTATATATATATATATATTGATTTTTATACTTAAAAAACTTTTTAAAATAATTTGTATATGTATATATAATTTATTTTGATTTGATTCTTGTCGTCGATCTGCTGTTTTTACTTGAGTTATGACACAGGGAATTACAGAGATTAAATTGAAAATGATTGTTGTTTAGAGGCAAAAAAAAAAAAAATTATACTACTTTTACTTTGGTTTAATATGTTAGATGAAACTGAAAATGATTATGTATTCGGATAAAAAATATGAGAAAAGTGTTTGTCATTTTAAATGACAAAAAATTATATCATTTTAAGAGAGATACAGACACAGAAAATTTGAATTTTAAAATGACATAACTTATGTCATTTAAAATGACAAACACCAAATCCAAAAAATATTTGAAGATTTTATAAACAAGGGGATTTTGAAATGTTAACATTGAGTTTCTTGAACTTAAAAGAAAACGATAGCTTCTCGTTAACTTTAGTTCTCGAGTGCGCAATATTGGTTGCGGTATAACTATTTGAAGCTATTTATTTAGGGTTGTAATATTTGTAGAGTTACAACTTCGTCTAAAAGCTTAATGTTCTGGATTTAACCTTAGCTGGGTTTAATTCATTATCCGACTTCGGCCTGCCCTTGAGTTCAGATCGTGGGTTTGATCCCATGATCTCACTCCTCTCCATAACTGCCATGATCACCATTAAAGGAACTGCTCCTTACTCATGATCCTCCTCCTTAACCGCTCATGAGAATCGCTATATATACATTGATAGTACCAAAGGAAGTGAGGGGATCATTACTTTCACCCATTCATACAGAACATAAACCCTCTGGTTTATCTCATCAGATCATATCCATCATTAGCCTATCTCAAATACTTAACCTATTGTTAATGTTCAACCCTGAACATTTGGCACCGTCTGTGGGAACTTTAAAGTTCTAATCCCACCTCCATTCACCAATACCCATGGGAGAAGATTTTACGCTAACGACGAACAACATTGCTAGTCCATCAAACCATGGCAGAAGCCAAATGGCTTCATGAAGGAGAAAAAATATTGTCTGCAAATCTCATTTACTGATACGATCACCGGGTTGATTTCCACGCCAGATTTATAAGCCAAGTCTCTTTTACTTTCTTTTACTTTTCAACATCTTTATCCCATAACTCTAAGTTTTTGGCAGATTTTTAAATTAAAAAAAAAAGGTCTTAGGCAACTACACCTACGATATGTGTTGGAACTTTTGAGATAAAACAAGAAAACAGTATTTGTATTACAGAGAACAAATACGTGTATTGAATGAAAAGATAGCAAGCTACATTAAAAATATGAACAGAAGCATTACAACTTATAGAAGTAAAAAGAAACTACCCACTAACATCATGATCCTAGAAATGTGCTGTGTGAATAAAACTAAAACAAAGCATTAAATAAAACTTCCTAACTGACACCTTAAAACTAGGAAAGCAATATTGACTCAAAGACAACGTGGGACATGATCCTAAAGCATTTTCCTAACACTCCTCCTTGCTTTAGGAGCTGCAAACTCCAATTTTCTCTCTTAGAAACTCGAACCTACTGACCGAGAGTGGCTTTGTAAGCAGGTCTGCTTGTTGGTTTTCAGATTTACAATAAACCAAAGTTACAAGTCCCTTTTTTTGCACTTCTCTTAAGAAAAACAACTTTATGTTGAAGTGCTTGGTTTTTCCATGGAACACAGGATTGTGAGAGATAGCAATAGCAGCTTGGTTGTCAACAAGAATCTTGATGCTTTCTTTATGCTCCAAGTTGAGATCAAATAAAATTTTCCTTAGCCACATGGCTTGATTCACAGCAGCAGTTGCTGCTATAAATTCTGCTTCAGCCGTAGATTGAGCTATAATTTCTTGTTTTTTTGAACTCCAAGAGAAACAACCAGAACCCAAGGTAAAACAATAGCCTGAAGTACTCTTCATATCATCCATGGAACCTCCCCAATCGCTGTCTGAATAGCCAACCAGCTTGAATTCTATGCTTCTTGTGAATTTGATGCCAAAGTTACAAGTGCCTTTGACATATCTGATCACTCTCTTGACAGCTTTGAGATGTATTTCACTAGGACAATGCATAAAACGAGATAAAATACTTACAGCATTCTATATGTCAGGTCGAGTTGCTGTTAGATACATTAGGCAACCAATCAAACTTCTGAAGTATCCCTCATCAATTTTATCAGCTCCATCTTCCTTACATAGCTTCTCCTTTTGATTCATAGGAGTGCTTACTTCCTTGCATTCTTGAAACTTAAACTTCTTCAAAATCTCCTTGACATACTTCCTCTGGCAGATGAAGATTTCATACTCAGCTTGCTTAATCTCCATTCCAAGAAAGAAGCTCATTAACCCGAGATCAGTCATCTCAAAAACCTTCATCATTTCTTGTTTGAATTCCTGGATCATCCCTGCATCATTTCCTGTCATCAAAAGGTCATCAACATAAAGTGAAACTATCATAACATCATTACTCTGATGTTTGACATAAAGAGTGGCTTCGGACAAGCTTTTCTCAAAGCCAATGCTCAGCAAATGATCATCTATCTTGCTGTACCAAGCTCGTGGAGCTTGTTTCAACCCATAAAGAGCCTTTTTGAGAAGGTAAACCTTGTCCTTATCTTTACTTTTCACAAAACCTTCAGGCTGTTCAACATAAATTTCTTCATGTAAGACACCATTTAAAAAAGCTGATTTTACATCAAGTTGATACACTTTCCAGTTCTTTTGAGCAGCTACAGCAAGCAAAATTCTAATGGTGTCCAAACGAGCAACTGGTGCGAAGGTGTCTGAGTAATCCACACCGAAGATTTGAGCATAGCCTTTCACAACAAGTCTTGCCTTATATTTGTTGATAGAACCA